GGTTTTGATTTGCATTTTCCTAATAGCTAGCGATGTTAAGCGTCCTTTTATGTTTGTTGGTCATTTGTATGTCTTCTTGAGGAAAGTGTCTGTTCAGGTCCTCTGCTCATTTTTTCATTGGATTGTTTGGTTTTTTGTTGTTATCAGGTTGTATGAATTCTTTGTATATTTTGGATATTAGGCCCTTACTGGAGGCATTGCTTGCGAATATATTTTCTCATTTGGATGGAACCCTACTTTTAAAAAAATTCCCTTTAACTAAGCTGATATGAAAATCTTCTCATTTATATGATTGTTAAACATAGAGTTGTGAGGATTAAGCGGGGTAGTCTTGGTGAAGGCCTTGATGCATAGCAAGTGTTCGATAGTTTCTCTTTCCCACTCAAAGGATTTGGAGGCAGCTCTTGGGCCACACTGTGAAACTCAATTTGTGTCTCATGATCAGGCTCCCAGGAGGAGGGTAGGGAGGGCTGAAGCCATCATAGCCTTCTCTGCTCACAGGATCGGCTTTGCTATTGCCAGGCGTCTGGCCCAGGATGGGGCCCACGTGGTAATTAGCAGCCGGAAGCAGCAAAACGTGAACCAGGCAGTGGCGACACTGCAGAGAGAGGGGCTGAGTGTGACGGGCACCGTGTGCCATGTGGGGAAGGCGGAGGACCGGGAGCAGCTGGTGTCCAAGGTGAGGTGTCAAAAGGTGGAAAAACACAAGGAGGAGAACATGCCCATCCTTTCATTCACTGCTCAGCCCTGGTTGGAGCAGAGACCAGGATGGGGTCCAGAGGCCCGATAACACCACCTGAGACCACGATTGCTCACAGTTGAACTGAGCAGACACTGGCCCTCTGGAAAGTGGCCTGTTCATGAGAGGACCCTCTCCCTTTCACCCCCTACCCCCACACCCTGAGAGAACTATGGGTAAAGAGGGGTCTAAAGGAATTTTCCCATCCCAAGCCCACAGAGAGATTCCTGGAGAAGACTTTCCTCCCCTGAGGCCCTCAGCACAGACAGTCTGCCCCTGGCCTAGCCAGGGCACTTACCTTCAGCAAGAGTTTGGTTCTCACAGAGGCTGTCATCTTTCCTGGTTGAGACAGTATCTAATCCACATGCTTTGCCTCAATGCACCATGCAGCTGGGCTGTTCTCCTCACGCCATCATCTCCACAGTTCCACACTCACCCTGCCCTTCATGGCGCCCCTCCCTGCAGGCTCTGGAGCACAGCGGAGGTGTGGACTTCCTGGTGTGTAATGCTGCAGTCAACCCCCTGGTGGGGAGCATCCTGGGGACCAGTGAGCAGATATGGGACAAGGTAAGAGGCTTTTGGGAGCTGGCCGAGGGGCTGAGGTACCAGCTCTGTACTGGGCTCCAGCAGGCGCCATGCCCACTGAGCCTCTCCCTTCCCTCCTAAAGTTACTGTAACTACAGGCGCTGGGCCAGGCCTGACCACAGGTGTGCCCCAAATGTGCCCTGAAGCTACTTTCTGGTCTGTGTGATTTTAAAGCTAGTTCATTAGCTCTTTCTGCTTTCTTTTCTCTTCCCACCCCTTTTGCACTGATTCAGCAAATATGTATTGACAGCTTGCTAAGTGCCAGGCACTGCTCCAGGCTCTTGAAACAGAGCTGAGGGAGTAAGTCTCTGTTCTTGGCAGGACCCAAAATTATAAGGTCTCTGCTCTCTGTCAGTAATTTATGTCCTTATATCCGGTGGTGGGCACAGATATTGGTGGTGGTGCTTCTCTTTGGCGACCCGTTCCCGCTGCTGAGATTCTCTGCCTTTCCTAGACGAGGGCTCTTCACTGTCCGTCCATCAGATGAACCTGCTGCACGGGTCAGACCGGGACCCGCCTGCCAACTTTCCATGGGCTGAGATGTTCCAACTCACTGAATCCACTTAATCCTGCCACCTGGTGCACAAGGGTCCAGGAGAGGCCTGGTCAAATGCCGTGAGGTCTATCTCGGCTTCTTTAGGACTCCTGTTCCATTCACCCCTGTGTCCTGTTCTCTTGTCCCACTGATGGACTAGATGGGCAGATGAAGTCACATTCTCCCTGAAATGGTTAGCATTCCCTTCTGCCCCAGGCACTGGGCTAGAGCATTTCCTTCTGCCCTCCCCAGTTCTCCTCACTCCGCCAGTCTGTTCTCAGGCTGGCCTCTCCTGCAAGCTGTCCTTGGCCAGGTGCCCTTCCCTCCATCCTCAGTCAGGATCTGAATCTGAACTTCCTGCAGGCCCTGCCAGCGGCCTCCAGGCTCTCCAGCTCTCCTAATACCTCCGAAGGATAATCTGTGATCATGTAGCTGGGATTTCATTGCTGACAGTCTCCGAACCCTCCGGACTCATTTTCCCCGCTAGTGTCTCGTGCGTGGGTTCACGACTCTTTTTCTCGAAGCCGTTTGAAATCTTCCCTCCTGAAGATGGGAGCACTTGCTGACAGCCAACCTTACTTTCTATGCTGCTCCCTTATCCCCCAAACTTGCTATTCCACACGGAGTTCTGTACCACTGGACAGAAATCGTCCCCCAATTGCAGCTGCCACCATTTTGGAGGTGAAATGGTCACACAGTGATTTTAGAATTTAGCCGATGCTCTGCTTTTGCCCGGATGCAATTTTCGGTTGGTGTCCTGTGAGGAATTTCTTCCTGCTCATCTTACCCTTGGGCCAGTCTGAGCACCTCCCCGGGAGACCGCCATCCTCTCCAGTGGGTTGGGATCTCTCATGTACCACCCACCGCGTCTCCTCCATCCCTTCTTCAAGGACTCTGCAGCATGTACCCTCCTCAGGCTCACTGTCCCTACTCAGAACTTGGTGGCACACAGAGCTACTCTTCCTTCCTCGCTATTAGTGCAGTTCTTCCGAGCAAGAGAGGGACTCTCACCTTTTTCTTGGCTCACATTTGGCTCCTATGTCAAGGAGGGGCCTTGTCGCAGCCCATCGCCCACGGAGCTGACACACATGGAGCTTAGGGCAGACATCCCGTGGCGGGTGGGACTCTGTTTTGAACAGAGAGTGACCAGGAAGCCCTTAGCCTAACCCTCAATTTCTCCTTATTGGGAATCTCACACTGGTACCCCCTTTATACATCTGAGCCACGATTTGCAGTCCTGGAGGGCATCCCAACACCGGGCACCTGTTATCAGATGGGCCTCCGCACGCTCAGCTGAAGCATTTTCCCTGTCCACATCCAAGGGGTCGAGTGGTAGGGGATGAGAAGTGGGAAAAACGATGGACCAGCTGGTCAGTTCCAGATGGCAGCCTCGTTTCTTAAAGACAAGGGACGCAGTCGGCCTCACTAAAGACAGCACTCCACAGGAGCGATCCCTGATGCCACTCTAGTCCCAGCTGGCAGTCTGTCCCAGTCCTGGGCTCAGTCTCTGCTTCTTTCCTTGCCAGTTCCCCTCCTAATTCCCCCCTGTCCCCAGGCCCACTAGACAGAGTTCCCAGACAGAGGGCCAGGGACACTTATGTCTAAGCCCAGATCCAGGATGTAATCAGAGACAAGATCAGCATGGACACCTAATTCCCGGAATGGCAGTTCTCTGTCATGTTTCCGTTTATGTTTTGGCTCAGAAAAGCCCAGAACCGTGTCTGCAATAAACCAGAGTGTATATAGGCCCTCACAGCATGCGTGTTTGTGAACACAGAATAATGCTAATTCCTTACCACGGCTGTGAACTGCGGGCACCAACCTCTCTCTAGGTTTTCCTTATTTTTCTAGACTTATTTTTCCTAGTCTCCATTGCTCCATGCACAACACCTGTTTGATTTGTTCCAGGCTGTTGCATTGAGTATGTTCATTTCTCTTGGGACAAGGCAAGAGCAAAAACAAATAAAAACACGGAGAGACAAAGAAGTTTCTTCCAGAAATCTCCCCTGTTGTCTGTACTTTCCCTCCACACGTTCTTTAATCTTTTTTCCTGTGGCCTCTGTTTACAACTTCTATCTGCCCCGGCTGATCTCAGAAGCTAAGCAGGGTCGGGCCTGGTTAGTACTTGGATGGGAGACCACCTAGGAAGACCAGGTGCTGTAGGCGTAAAAACAAACAAACAAACAAACAGAACCAAAAACATCCCAAACAACTTCTATGTGCACGTCCACACTTTGTTTAAAAGGTTTGAACATTTTCTTCCTTCACCCCAGCCCTGAGCAGTTCACATTGTCAGGGCTCTGCTCGCAGACCTCTCCCGAAGCCGTGTACCTATTAAACCATTAGAAGTCGGAAATAGTTCTTGCCGGGTCAGAAGGGCGAGTAGTGTCTCAGCTCTGCACACATCTGGGTTTGCTGCAAAATTGTAGGACTCCAAGTGTCTTGTGAGAACAGGCCTGGGCTGACTGTGTCTCTCGCCACCCTCCAGCGTGTCCCTGCTCTGATTTCAGATCCTGGATGTCAATGTGAAGTCCCCAGCTCTGCTGCTGAGCCAGATGCTGCCCCACATGGAGAAGAGAGGGTATGGCTACTGGGTTGGGGTGGGGACTGGTGGCAGTTGGGGAGACTGAGGCCCAGGAGTTGAGTCTGGAGAGCACAGGGCACAGCTGAGAGTGGGAGAGGACAGAACAGGTCTCCCTGGGATCACCTGCCCCGGCCCCCCACCCCTCCTCACCCTGAGTGCAGCTACGGCTTCTAATTCTAGTGACCGCAGAATGAAGGTGATATTCCAGGGGCCCAGGCGTGTTCTCCTTGGCCTTGATATCACCAAGTTTGGGAAGAGGCTGTGCTTTAGCTCCTTATCCTGTGAGCCGTCCATCGGCACCCTCATCTACTCTGGTTTCTTCACAACCGGCCAATTTTTTTTTCACCAACTGATAGCCTATGGCAGGGTGTGCCCCACTTCTGCCCACAGGGAGAAACCATCACAGGCCCCTCCTCCTTCCTGGCTTCTTGATCATCAGGGACCCTGCTTCTGGTCTAGATCCCAAATTTCTGTCTCATGTCAGGGACTTGGCCACCACTTCCCTCAGGACACATATGTTCCTCTGGCTTCTCTTTGCAGACACTCCCTTTAGGGACTGGCTGGGGACTGTCTTGGAGAGAAAGAAAAGTTCTTGACAGTCACTTCTTGTCTCCTCCTGACTGATCTGCTTCTCGGAGGTGGCCCGTCGCTAGGCATGTCCCATCAGCCGTGGTGCCTTCGCCAAGCCCACTCTGCCCTCTTCCCCACGCACTTGGCCTTCTGCTCATCTCCCCCCAGGGAGAGGCAGGGGAGTATGATGGTTCTGAGCACGGACACTGGGTCAGAGACGTAGGGTTGCATTCCTACGTCTGCCACCCATTGACTCTGAGCCTCGGTTTCTGTAGCTGTGAAATGCGGATAGTAGTAGGACCTGTGTGAGGCTTGCGCTGCACTAAAATTTAGTTCTCAGCTTCCTCTCTCTTCTTGTGTCTGTCTGTGTCTTCTCAGGAAGGGTGCTGTCATCTTGGTCTCCTCCGTTGCAGCTTATTTGCCACTTGTGGTGAGTGCTTGCTCCGTATGTTTTGGTTGGGATAAGATGGGGGGTTTCCTAGAGTCCCACAGGGTCAGTGTCTGGGACAGACCCCCACCTTGCTCCTGCCGCCCTAGGCTGAACTGGTGCCCATGTAGCTGCTGGTTCCCTCAGACCAGGCTGGGGAGTGTGTCTGAGCTCTGGGTTTAGGCCAAGTGTGATCCTCTGTAGGTGAGAACTTCAACTGACACTTTCCTCCACACCCTGATGTCCTCCTAACCCCTGTTCACCTGGTCTTAGGAGTTGGGTGTCTACAACGTCAGTAAGACAGCCCTGCTGAGCCTCACCAGGGTGCTGGCCATGGAGCTGGCTCCTAAGGGCATCCGGGTGAACAGCCTGGTTCCGGGAATAATAGAGACTGACTTCAGCAAAGTGGTGAGCACTTGGGTGTGCCCTCCGTTCTCTAGCCTGGCTCAGTGGAAACCCTTCCCAAAGACTAAGGGATAAAGAGGATCAGCATCCTTACAGATGAGGCCCTCACTGTCCTCTGAACTCAGCCACGACCCAGTCCATCAACATCAAGAGGGGCAAACCTGTCCTGAGTGCTCTGTCATGTGACTACCTCGGGGACGTCCCATGTTCTTGTTTTGGCAGCACTGACTCCTTCATCTCTTCTCTTTGCCCAGTTACATAAGAACGAGCTTACGGGGAACATAGTCAAGGCACTATCGATGCAGAGGCAAGTGGGGTTTGATCCTTCGGTGGTCTGGGTACCTTTGGGGAGGGTCGTCTGAGCCTAACTCAAGAGCAGACCTCTCCCTGTCTTCTGGCCATTCCTTTTGCTGAAGCCTGGGCTCCACATAGCCCTGGAGGGTGCAAGTAGTTCTGCCAAATTGACCCCATCACTCCAGGGAGCCCACTCCCACCTTGGCCTGTGAGCCCCAGAGCAGTAGAAGCAGAGTCTAAGATCGCTGACACTGTGTTCTGTGCTCCTTCCATCCAGGTTCGGGCAGCCTGAGGATTGTGCAGGACTCGCGTCCTTCCTATGCTCTCCAGATGCCAGCTACATCACTGGCGAGAACATTGTGGTGGCTGGCTTCTCGCCTCGTCTGTGACGGGGCCTGGGGGCCGCAGAGCTGTGGGTCTGGGCCTAGGTTCCTGAGGATGGGTGAGCTAGGAGATCATTAAGCTCTAGGGACAGAGTCCAAAGTTCTGCCGGACTAGCAATCTGGGGGCTCGCTCATGCCAGGCCTGAGGAAGAAGCCCCATTAGTCTCATCCTCGTGACCCTCTGAGCGAGTGTTGTCGATTTGGCTGCTGTGATCCAACCAACACACGGGTTCTTGGATTCTCGGTGTTGGGCTGTGGAGCCAAGGGAGTTCACGGGGCTGGTGCTTCGCAGGGACCATCAAGGGCAGGACCAGAATCTCAGGCCCCTGAAGGATCCCAGCTCCTTCTGTCTGTCCTCTGTGCTTTAAAGGTTTCTGCCCTAAAATAAACTCAAATTTATCCTCAAGTCTGTTAAGTCTTGGTAAAGGTGGCGCCTAGGGCAGCATGGCCAAGGACAGGCCTCTCCCATCACCTGCCTTCTGTTGCTGCCCTGAGCTGGTCACAGACCTGCGGTAGTGGGGATGGTGGGGAGTGCGTGTTCACAGCAGGCTCTTCTCTATTCTCTGAGCTGGGGCTGCTGGAGGCTGAGCAAGGCTGGAGGAGGTGGAATGATTCTGGGCTTCTCCTGGGGGTCTGTAGGCTAGTGGTTCTTAATGTTTTCTGAACCTCACAGGCCTTTGAGCACCTGAAGTAAAAGTCCCACCAAATCTTGTGTATAATTCCAGGTCGAGAACTTAGTAATTTAGACTGAAGAGAGTTGTCGGTACAGAAGTTCCTCTTGGGGTTGGCTTTTCTTGGTGATGGCCTTTTCTGATTGTCCTGAGTCATATTCAGGGCACCATCCTTCTGTGTGGATACGTTTAAAGCTCAGCAGAGTCGAGGAGAAACAGCAGCCTTCAAGTCAGGTAGCAAGTATGGCAATGTTTTTTCCTGAGGAAAGGGTTCAGAGTCAGTGCTAACTTTGCAGCAGAACTACCGGTATGGATGGAAGCAGAGGGGTGAGTGGGAAGAGCATCATGGCCGACTGATGCCCCTGTGGGTAGATGAGCGTATTCAGGAGAGAGAAGTGAGGCATAACTCTAGTTTGCTCTCTGACAAGGATGGAGACTCCATTCTTCTGCAGCAAAGTGAGAGGCTACTTGTCCCCGAGGCTTCAGGGCATAGCCTCTGAGTGATGGGCATAGGCGGGGTCTCTGATTCAAGTGTGCAGGTCTCTGTGGATCCTGGGAACTTGGCCGGGGAAGGGACCAGTGGGGACAATCGGGCAGGGCGTGGGGAGTAGGAGCTGTTTGTGGTCCTCACCACTTGCATAAAGTCAGTCTTGATTATTCCTGGCACTAGGCATATCTCAAAAACAGTCATAACTTAGACTTGTCGTCATTCAGGTTTTCTCCACCTTGAAATATTAAATGCACACATCCTGCTCTCTGTCAACAAATTCCTATTCTTCCACCTCTTTCTGCTCTGTTTCCTTTCACATGGAGAATTACTGTTCCCTGACCCCTCTATTTTGTCCTAATATATCAATCTCTCCCCCTTTATATTAGTGTGCTAAAGCTGTTATAACAAAATACCACAGACTAAGAGGCACAAACAACAGATGTTTATTTCCTCACAGTTCTGGAGAATAGAAGTCCAAGAGCAAAGTGTCAGCAGGGTTGGTTTCTTCTGAGAACTCTTTCCTTGGCTTGAAGATGGCTACCTCCTCTCTGTCTTCACCTGGTCTTTCCTCTGTGCATGTCTGTGTCTTACCTCCTCTTCTTGTGAGGACACTAGTCATATTGAATTATGGGTCACTCCAATGACATACTTTAACTTTAATTACCTTTTTAAAAACCTTATCTTAAAATACAGTCACATTCTGAGGTACTAGATGTTAGGACTGCCCCATGTGAATTTGGGGGAGGGGACCCAGTTCAGCCTATAACCAATCTTCTCAAGCCCACTTCCTCATCACCTCACCCTCCATCTTCATAGGGGAGGCAGGAATAATGATCTGAGAACTTTTCTTACCTTATGAATTTGTCTGTGAGGGGTTCTCTCTTTTCCTTACTCTCTCCCATCAGTGAAGGGTGTCCTCTCTCATTCCTCCATAATCCAAGCTGGCTCCCACCTCTGCTCTAGCTGGCCTTCCCTTTCCACCTCCTTGGGGTCCTTGAGCTGTCAGTTATTCTCTTTTTTGTTTCTTCGATACCTCCAGTAGCAAAGTTAAGCCAGAGCAACTGATCTACCACATTTGGACCCACAGATCTCAAAGAGCCTGTGCAGCCAGGAGAGGTCTTTTATATGTTATTTTGTGTTTGGGATTGTGCTGTTGGCTGTAGGCTCCTTGCCTGGAGAAGGTGTTCCATGCAATTATTTCCTCCAGTGTCTGGGATAGGAAGGAGGCTCACCTGATGGCTTCTTCTTCTTCTTAGTGCCTATATTCCTCCTCTCCCTTTGGAGATAGAGGCGAGTAGGTAGGTCATGCAGAGCAATTCTCTGCTGGCAGAGTCACTCTTCTTCCTGAGTCAGGATGGAGAGTTTGTGGGTTCTCAGAATTGTGTTTTGATTTTTTGGCTCCTTTGTTTCCAGAGCCACCTATACTTCCTACTCCCTTATAAAACTATTTTCATTCTATGTCAGAAACATCACTTGAAACTTGGAAGTAGGCAAGAGAGCTGTCAGAATATTTTCAGTGCAGTGTTGTGGTGTTGGGCTTGACTTTCTATCATCTCTGAGCAAAGATTAATGTATAGATTTTTGTCTTCCAGAGATGCATATAATTCTATTAGAAGAGATGGTCCCAGAGATTATGATTTATTGTCTTCTTGGACATTAACCAGTTTTGTGTCTAACCCCAAAATCTTATTCTAACACTTCTTATAAATACCTAACTTTTTGAGTGGTTTTTTTTTTTTTTTGGATTAGTCATGACATCTGATTTGTTCTCTCATTAATGAGTTGAGTAAGATTTTGACACCTGTTCATTTTTTATTTATATGAGTAATATTTTTTGAAAAGTATACTTTAACACTGATTTATTATATGCAAAAGTAAGCAAAAGGAGAGGCTATTGGACTTTGAAGTAAAACCATTTTTATTATTTATGCTGCTGATCTTTCTATTATTTACCTTTCACTTGAAAAATTGTTTAAATTCACTCTCATTTATAAAGAGAAAGCTCTTTAGTAATCCTTTATCACACCGAAACTGCCACATTATACTCTTTTTTTTTTTGACATATTGTTATAAAAAGTTGTCTAGGTTGTCTAAAAAGTTGTCTCAGACCAAACATCTAAGATTATACATACAAAATATCATTAAACTCTTCTCATAAGCAGCCTCAGGTGACCTCTGAAAATGGTTTGCTATCCACTTGACCCAGAAAACCCCACAAAATCTTGCAAATCAAGAGGTTCAAGTCTTTGTATTCACTTTAAGAACACTCGTGAAACTGCCTAGGCCAGTATGCATATCAGTATCTGAAGGATGTCACTTTACAGAAGCAATGTGTGCTATTCCATCGTTACAATGGTGGAATTGGGAGGTGTACGCAGAACGAACAGTGAGGTTGGATGTAGGGTCAGTGGCCCAAAAAGAGTGTTGAATTTTTGCTGCACATGCTTAAAAATGCATAGTGTTAACGCTGAACTTAAGTATTTAGATGTAGATTTTCCGGTTATTGAGCATATCCAGGTGAAGAAGCTCCCAAGATGGGCATGGAATTTACAGAACTCGTGGGCAGATTTATCCCTCCCTGAGCTCTCCCTGCCACAATGAGATGATACTTACTGAAAAAGAGCAGATTCCTAAACCAGAAGAGGAGGTTGCACAGAATAAGAAGAGATCCCAGAAGAAACTGAAGAAACAAAAACTTGTGGCCTGGGAGTAAATTCAGTATCAAACAAATGCTAATAAAAGTAATTTATATATATAAATAATTGAGTATGCAAAGTTAATGTCAGAGGGATGTGAAAGTTTCATGCCTATGCAAGGTAATTACAATGACAGAAAGGAGTCCTTTATGCTTTCCTACTGACTTAACTTTCCTGCAAAGTTGTGACCTCTGCTGGGCACTTTCAGAATCTCCACTGATCTTTACCTCAATCAGCTTTTCTAGCTCTCAAAATAAGTGAAAGCTTCCAGTTGTAATGCCTCTGCACAGACTTTTCCTCTTGCATCACCATAGAAACAAAACCCTCACTGTGGGGGGGAAAAAACACATTATAATGAGGAAGCCTGCTGTAAAATATGGATTAATAAGTTGAACAGCAAACAGAGTGAAACTCTTGTTTGTAGAAAGGAGCTGAGTGACAGCAACAGCAGTTGGGGGAAGGAGGTAGGGTGTTTTGCTGGACTCAGATGGGAGAAAAAAAATGTAGAGTCTAACTCTTATTCTGTAAGCCTGAGTTCTTATACCACATTATCTGGCTAGAGGCTCCTTCCACTGTGGTGGTGGAGCAGCAATAACAAGCAGAATACTCAGGACCCTGAGCTGCTTCTGCCTATTATTTTGGGAACTCCAGGAAAAAATGGCACATGAGATTTAATAAGTGTTATGGACTGAATGTTTGTATTCCTTCAAAATTCATATGTTGAATTCTAATCCCAATGTGATAGTATTTGGAGGTGGGCCTTTAGGAGGTGATTAGGTCATGAGGATGGAGCCCCTAAGACGGGATTGGTGCCCTTATAAGAGAGAGACCAGAAAGCTAGCTCTGCTTTCTTTCCACCCTGTGAGGATACAATGAGAAGTCAGCAGCCTGTAACGCCAAAATGGGTTTTCATTGAAACTCGACCATGTTGGCACCCTGGTCTCAGACTTGGAGCCTCCAGAAATGTGAGAAATAAATTTCTGTTGTTTATAAGCCACCGAGTCTATGGTACTTTGTTAAAGAAGCTCGAACAAAGAGATGGTACAAATTGATAAGAAACATACTAATGCCTGAGTAGATAGATGGGCAAAATTCATGAAAAATAGTACATAAGTAGGAAATCTAATTGGCCAATAAACATATGAAAAA